AAATTTTCTAGGTGTAAAAAATTAACTAAAACAGATAAATGATTAGCAACTGTTGTGATATTGTATATGTAATTACTTAATCAGTTTAGATGACAGAAACAGAATATATATCTGTATTGTTTGTGAACTTTAAAAAGAAAGTTTCTCTAAAGCGCCTATCTATATAAGATCAATCACGTGTTAGATCATGCAATGAATAATATTTAGCAATGGTACCTAAATTTTTCAGAAGCTATTGCTAGAACATTACTGCTATAAATTCTGTATGTGACAAACAATGTTTTCACAGATACGAAAAATAGCGATACATTCTTGTTGCGATATCTAGAAATCTAACTACATCAGCGAAATATTTTTTTGAGTGTATATAGTTTATTTTTTTATTTCCCATATAGTTGAAAAATTAACTCAATTTCTTGAATTGAGGTCATTTTTCGATATAAAACAGTAAAGCGCGCTCGCGTTAATATTTTGTGTAAAAATAAAATTTGCAAAGAGAAAAAGAAGGCGTCTTACTTGCGGCCAATATGACGATAATCACGGCAATTGTCACGACCAAGAGCGCGCATCCCCAGGCCATTCTTCTCCAGTGCGAATTTTTGGACCTCTTGTCCTTCGTGACGTAAAGCTTCTCGCCCCTGCAACATAATTTCGACGCTACGTAGAGACACGACAAAAATGCATCGTGCACGCTTGAATATTTTCTTCGTCCTAAACCCAGAAAGCATATTTTATACAGCGTTGCGCGTGTAACGCGGTTCCTAGCACAGTCGTCAGCCAATGAGATTAGAAGCTTCCTGGTACAGTCCCCGAATGCCTAATCTCTGGATCGTGTATTTCGTGTAACGCGTATCGTGTACTTCCTCAAATATTCAACCGAAAGTGACGATAGAAGAATGCGAGATATGATTTGTGTAGTGTTCGCTCAAGATACTACACTTTTGAGATTAACTTATCAACCAGTTATTCGATGCTTTCTACGTTCACCAGCGCTCGTGTCGAAATTATCTCATCCACAAGTTAACTTGGTATCGACATTTCGATACGCCGGGTAAATTCTTGGGCGTAAAATCATCCTAAAGGAAACATATCGGACACGAAGAAAGAAACGTATTCGATATTGGAAGGAGCGGTAGCGTAAGCGTGTTAGTGCGCGACCGCGTGCCCCTAAGAGACACCAAAGTATACATATTCCACTAAGACAATTCCCCAGCTGTTTCTGCTTTGCTTTTTTTTTCCTTCTCCTCGAAAGCATCCGTCAAGTACCTGAGGGCTGTCAGCCAGTGGGAATAGTCGACCAGTCCGGCGGCGGGGTCTCTCAGGCTGAGTCCCTCGCGGCCGACGCCCGGGCCCAAATCAAAACGCACTCCAGCCACGGTCGTTTCAACCTCGGCCTCGGGACCCCTGCTAAGTACCGTGATAACAGAAAATACCGTCTAATTCTTTCTTGCCACCTCTTTGTGTGAGGCTTTTCAATTAGTAGCGGCCAAGCTCTGCGCTCTGCCATTTGTTGCGGCTAGAAACGGTGCTAAGACGGATCTTTATCGTCTCTCGACACTCTCGGCACGTCCGCGGATGATACGCTAATATATCTCTATTCCACATTTCAAATATTTTTGCCACAGTTTTACGATAGTCCTTGCAGTATAATTACGCTAAGGGAGATATTGAAAGAAATGTAACTATCGTGCACTATCATTGTCTTCTGCAGGATGTATTTAGTAGACCAATTCAAATGTAAACCGGAATTTTTTTGTCTTAATTTAATTTCTAAACATAAATATTATAAGAATTGTGAGTTTATTTTTTTACTCTCGTCTCATACGTATGCGCGCACTCAAATTCCGGCTCATCGTAGTTTTAGTATCTTTAGTTTCTATCGCAAAGTCCTGTTTCGTGTAATATATGTTTCTTATTTATAAAAGTAAAATAAGAACAACGTCAACGAAGGAGAGTCTTTACCACACTTGTCTAAAAGCATTTACAATGATTATTAACTTACAATTAGCATATAGACGGAAGATGTGGATTGTAAGCTACGTACGTTTTATGTCTTTCATTGTCATACCATGTTTTCTGTTTCTAAAATTCAGAATAATTTATGCACGCCGGGCTGGTGAATAGTAGTCACGAAAAACAGTTAATAAGAGAGTTAGAAAATAGAGATAGAAAGGAAAAGAAATCCATAAGCGCAAAACACTTGTTCTTGCTTTGCTTCGACGAACAACGTTACCTGATGTACTTTCGATGCTCATTAACTGGCACGAAGTACTCCTCGTAAGGATCAGTTGGCACTTCACAGGCTTCCTGACCTTTCGTCTGGATATTGTTACCCGTGTACGGCCTCATTGAGACGAGTTCTAGATTTACGGCCTCGATCTGCTCCTTCTTTCCAGACTCTATGAAAAAACGGGAAACCGTTTACTATCAAAGTATTATCCGTAGTGCGTAAGGTACGCAACCGGTTTTCATTTTCCGGTCGTATGAAACAGCGGAGAAACCGCATTCCGCGAAATAGCGACGAAGCTAAAGCAGGACCGAGCTTCCTGTTTTTCGCGCGATATAATCAAAAAAACAAACGAAATACGTTGCGCATCGTACGAAATATGAGAGTTACGCGAAATGTGAAAATCAATTTTTATCAAAAAACATATAAGAATATAATAATTAATTAACGAAAGAAATGATTAATATATAATTTAATTAAATTTAATGAAGAGACGGCATCTGTAATTATCAAAGCTTGCTTTTATTACTGCCATTGTCAAATACACGCGATACAAGATCAAATATCAAAACGGAAAGACGATCGGTGTGACATCAGATGCAGTAAATATCGCAGCGCGATTAAATATCAACGGATTCATCGTAAAAAGTATCGCGCGCGATACTTCCTGGGGTTTCTCCGGTCACGAATAGGACTCTTTCTCAATAAACCGATGGTCGCGTCAGTGGTGGCAATTAACGGTCGAAAGTTCTCGCTGAAATCACATCCGATGGGCGATGGAAATCAATAAGGTCTTCCTTAAGTCTCTTTCTCGCTTGTGACACTTCAAATTATTCGCTTGTGTGTGTAATGTATTTACAGTATATTTATTGTGCGGTAGTGGGATATCACGTGCATTTCAACTCACCGTTGACCTGTACGCTCGTGGCGCTGTTATTGAGGAAGCTGGCGTCATTGTTGTTGCCGTTCCCGTGAACGCCGTTGAGCTTCTTCGGCTCGGACGTGCTCTTTTCCGCGTCATCGGCCGGCAGCTCGATTCGCGTTTCCGTTTTGTAAGACTGCTCCGAGCTGGGCTTGACAGGCTCGACGTAGTGCTGCGATATGTAGGATCGCTGATGGCCATTTTCTAGCGGCGCGCCGTCCGCTGTTGAGGACTTGCGATCCTGATCCAAGGCCGGTTGCTTGCCGCCGTTCTCCAGCTTGGAGTTGCCGACGCGCTCGTCCTCGTTGGCGAACGCCGGATTGTCCGCGCCGCCGGCATTCGACATCTCTCGATCGCGTCGCCGAAAGCTGCTGAACCCTCACCTGATAACGCCCTCGTGTCCGTTTGTCATGCGTCCCGTTTCTGCAAACAAATTGTCATGTTTGTGTATCGCCAGTTGTGTGATAATAGCCAGTTGTCCTATTACAGTGTTTCTATTATTGAATTAATTTCAATACAATTTTTAATATTGTTTAAGATTATTTATTTCATTGGATTTCAAGCGGATTTTAAATTATAGGGGATTAAAAAACATAGTTAATTTTTTAAGGCTTGGTTTTGCAATCATATTTCGGTATTTTCGTTTGAAAGCGGTGCAAAGATTTAATTCGACTATCGATTTGTGACTAGAAGCTTGGTTGACAAAATTTGTTCAAGACGCTACATACAAACATACAAACTTATTTGAGTTCAGTTTAGTTTATAACTATTATAGTATTTATTTTGATTGCCGAGCTCCAAAGTGGCCTATTAATCAGTTAACGTAGATACCCGTCAGTGATGTCAGCGATAGAGATAGATTTATACCTTCCCAGAGAACGATGAGGCGCAGGAGATATGGGAAAGAGAGAGATGTCCGAACTGGCATATATCTTATCGATATTCTCGCGAAACAATTTATCGAACCTGTTCTCGCCGAACGCAAAAATCAATTACTTCTTAACGCTGACTCAATCGCGGCGAGAGACCGCTGAGAAAGACGGAAGGTTTGCGCACTGTTGATCGCATCGTTGAATTGTTTTCGCCTGCGTGCGAGACGACGTGTCACGAGTGAATCAGCAACGAGCATCGAATTAGAGGCTCGTGCGAATCGCGATGAGAAATTTCGTGAGAAACATCCTCGCTCTGGCCGACAAAGATGAATTTGCTACACGCTTTGTCTCTCTCTCTCTCTCTCTCTCTCTCTCTCTCTCTCTCTCCCTCTCACTCCTTTTCGTCCTCCGTGCGTTTCCTGCGAACCTCCCACCATCCTTCGCGTTCCCTCTGCGTAGCAGCAGCCTATTTGGCTTATTTTTTCGGCTTTGAACGGCGTCGAGCCAATAAACTTCGCGATCCGCCGGCCGCCGGAGAAAACGAGCAAAACGCGAGGTTTAACCCCTTCTAACCGCCGCAGGCCGGACGATGTGGAAAACGTTCCTCTCGAAGCACCCACTCGAAATAAATCTCTACGAACGTTTAAGAAAGAAATGAGCGTGCGAGCCCGAATGAGCCTTTAACGCGGCAACTGTCGTCTCGTTTTTTCGCTGCTTGGTGCTGCCGCGCGAGATTTTTTCACATTATATATGATATTGTTACGTATAGTTACGTGTAGTTATATTCAATAGCCTGCGTGTCTTTTGTTATATAATGCGATACTTAAATCTAATTTGTTTACATAAAGTATACATCGAGTAATAAAAAGATCTCGAAGAATGAGCAAGGACGTCAATTGTCTTCTTCTTTTTTTCAACGTCATTATAACGTAAAAACATCAATTTTTTTACGTTTCTCGTTTCTATCCGCTTTAAAAATTTTAATTGATCGATAACTGCCAATAATTGTTAATTGCAGGAGGATCTGAGATCATTTAATTGGTATGTTATTAATTAAATTTTTTTCTTTTAAAATATTCGAACTTGTAAATTTTATTTCTATTTTCTTAATATTTATTTATATTTTTTCTCGCGTAGAAATGTCTCAGATTTGTTTTACGAAATCAAGGGTAATTTTCTCGCACAAATTTCACAAGTACAAATTTTCTGGCCGTATATACACATATTTAATCTTATCTCTCTTTCGAGAAGATGCGGCTTGAGGAGCCGGAGTCAGTCTGAAAATACCTAACTAGCTGGTGGTACTTAACTGTTGGCTACGCCAAGTGACTTTCAAGACACCCTGTAGGCACGCTCGGGACGAGCGAGTGTGTTTGCGAGTGTACATATAAACCGTCGTAGGCATATACCGCACCGAAAGTGGTTGACCCTGAGAGAGCCCGGCACAAAGGACTGATTCACCCCGCGGTCGACGCGGAGAGTCCTGCCGAGGAAGAAGCCTGGAGTTTACCAGGGTCGATTTTGCACAGGATCCTATCTCCGTGACATAATCCACGAAGATAGCGACACATTTAATGTGTTTTTTCCGAAACCGCAAAAGTCACACTTCCGATTCATTCGAATTATTCCTTTTGACTAGCGTCATCAAAATCTTCAACACCTTTTTTCAACGAATAACAAATATATTTACATGATTTATGTTATTTGTGTTTAACAAAGGTGTCAAAGGCTTTCAGACTTTTAACCAATTTAAAGGCAATAAAGAATCAGTAGCAGTTTAAATCCTACTTGTTGAAATGTCAAAACTATTCAGAATTTGAATAATTTATGCATGGAATGCGATTTACGCTTTTATTGATTTTTTATGATTCTTACATTATTTATGTCACGTATTTATTAGAAAAAATTACATTGATTGGTATTAGCAAAAATTTTTTGTTGTCATGATACGTTAAAAACATGGTCATCGTTAAAAATACTCTGGCATTAATTCGTATTAAATGTGCAAAGTAAATCAGCATATTAACGTTTTTATTGGAATGATAGTTATCACGCGGAATCAATAATCTTCATTATCATTATCATCATCATCATCATCATCATCATCATCATCATCATTGCTTCCTCTTATTATAGATCAGACTTAAACGTGCAATTATTTTGAAAATAATTAATTGACATTAAATGATCGTTAAATCGACTTCTCTTTCTTTTATTCTCATTTTACGACGTTAGTTTATCTACCTAATGTATTTTGTTATTCTACTTTTTGTTCCCATGCTCAATACTACGCTTATGTTTCTGCCACTGAAGAATTCGGCGTTCTTGCACATTTCAGTGAAAGCGTCTTACGTTTGCGAAAAAAAGTGCAGTCGTAACACCACTGAAAAGTATCATTCAGTTTCTCTGGTTTTTTAAATCTCTCACGGAAAAAGATCTAATTTAATATAAGATACTGTAAAAAAGTGACGTGTGACTTAATACGCCAAAAATTTCCTACAAATCTGTATGCAATATTTATGTTTTTGAATAAAATTATTTCTATCATATTATCGAATATTTTGCATAAATGAAAAGATCATAAATTGAGATGAAAAATAGTGAATATTATTACATTCGCGCTCAATTAAAATACAATACTTTTGTTCCAAAAAATTATATCTGTACACAAAGAAGTTTATTTTATTTTTTTAAACTTATTTCGATTTCTGTCACATAAAAAGTCACACATTTTTTCTGTAATGGAAATTAAATTTTAGCCTGTATAATATTAATTATACAGGCTAAAATATTTCTAATAATTTATATAATACAACGAGATCTCGCTAACTGAATCTCGTCTAGACAAGATTAAAAGGAACTGAAAGCAATAGGTATCTTAAAATGAAGCTCGTTAAGACAGCCATTTGCTGCATAAAAGTATCCTTTGATACGCGACAAGCGATTCTCCGGATAAAAATTTCTGCTCGCCGCGTGAAATTCACCGTGACGCGCTAGAATTAATCCGCTCAAGAGGCGGGCATCTGCGAGGCGACTTGATTGCGCTCGTGAATAAAAGCGAGATAATTGTATTAAAAGTCGCGGGGGGATTCGCCGGATAGGCACCCATATGCCGTGGCGAGGAAATCGGCGGGAACGTATCTATATCGCTGCTGGATCGTGTCGCGAAAAAGGACGAGAAACGCAACGAGTCCACCGTGAAGCACGCGATTATCCTCGAGCCAGAAAAGACTCTCCTTGCTCGTCGTTAAAGGACACTCTCCAATGACATTGCCTGTAATTTATGAGACTCGCCTGCTGATACCACTAAGTCTCGCTCTACCGAGTTCGAAGACTTTCACCTTGATCGCAATCGTGCGGCGAAATCTTGCGTAACTCTTCAGCATTATCTATGCACAATTCGTGATTCGGTCGGAAAAAAAAAGAATAGAAAATTACAATATGATATAACAACGCGGACCTGATATGTGTATTGCGAATGACTTAAGAATGGATATCATAATCCGTCCGAATATCGAACGTCACGACAAGAATAACAATTACGCCGATCATATTCACATATCAAGGATAATAAGGTAATAAAATTCTGAACTGTTGCGACCATTTTTTTTTACCATGAAAACTTCTGCGCAATGTGAATGTATCGCGTTGCTCAAGGCAATCTCTAGACTATTTGAATGCGCTGCGTTACTCAAGGCAACCTCTGCATTAACATTGACAGACAAAGGGATTACGGTGGAAAATGACCGTAGGAAATCGCGAGGGAGGACAACACGACAGGAAGGTATCCACCTTTTCCTGCGTCCACTTTCAAAGTGCATGCACGTTTTAATAATCCACCGTTACGTTTCCCATCGCGACTCAGGTCGATATCATACTCGGTATTTTAATTGCACGCCGGCGATTTGATTTATAAGCATTGCCCCGAGTGACATTTTGCTGTTAGAAATTTGCATCGATAGCCAATCAAGGACAGCGCTCCTTCATACATAAATGAAACAGTCGCAAAAGTCGTTTACGTCGTGCCAGGATTATCATTGCGAGCTGCGGGAGCGCGAACCGCGATCGAAGGATCCTGCGTAGTTTAATATCGCGCGCGAGAGAGACCAGTTCTGCTTGTTTTCCCCACACGCTATTACCCTTCGCGGACCTTCGGAAACGGTTGAACGTTACTGATGTCCTTAGGTTAGCAAGGATGCAGTCTTAGATACCGAAACCGATTCTCTCGCACTTTATCTTGGAAAGTTAATTTGAACTTTTATCAGTCTTACGCAGCGTAGCTAGAAAACTAAGTTAAACGTCAGCATAATCAAAATATTCTACACGTAAAAATATTTTATGTTAGCTCATATTATGATTATATTATAGCATTTGAATTCAAATAATTAGTTTATTGCACACGAAATGTTAAAATTCCGGTAGTTAATTTTACTTCTTCAAGTATTGTTATGTAAAACTAATATTTCGTCGACTTATTAATAGAAACGTGTCTTTAAGTGCGATTAAAGATCAATTTTGCTTAACAATGATGAATTGATTAGCTACAATATA